ATATGGAATCTAAGTACTAAGAACTTCAACAATCTGAAAAAAAGTAATTTCATATGACAAAAGATTTACTTTACTTTCCTCAAGGGTGTCTTAAAATAAATAATCTCCCTAGTGAGACAATCAGCAATGGAATTCAGCTACAAAAACAAAATGTTACACTATCACAATATCACTTAATTTGATATCCTCAAATACTTATTCATGAATTCAACAAACCAACACTTACTAAGCACCCACTATTGGGGAAGCAATGGGAATGCAAAATTATGTTGGTGCTTCTACATAAAATTTCATAATTTAATTAACTAAAATGTAAAACCAAGTATATTTTTCTTATTTGGTTTTCTCTTTGATCAAAAAAGTATGGGTGGTGGTACTTCTAGGAGAATAATTACACAAATATACACAGAAAAGAGTGAAAAATGAACAAACTAGAGTCAATGTGTATAAATCCATATGCTTCTACAAAGTAGGTAATGAAGGGGACTTATTACAAAGAATCTAAATACTTTATGAAAATCATGTTAACATAAGTAAAATGAAAACCTAAAGAAATGGCAAGATTTTTTATTGCTGTTTTGTTTGGATCCTGTTTTTAAAATCACAGCTGCTTGGGGAAAAAAAAATTGTCTTGGCATGAGCGTCCTAACAACTGCCATAAAGTATACAGATTTTCTTTTCTATTCTTTTAAAAATTTCAACAGGTAAAAATATAGAGAGAATATAATGTATGTATTCTATCTACCTACCTATCTAGGAATACAAATACTTATGTATCTACCACCACAAAAGAAACATTTTATTCCATTTGCTCCAGCGTAATTACAAACACAATCAAAGCCCTCTCTGTACCCAGCCTCAATCTTTTTCCTCTCCTTCCTATTCCTTCCCCAAAAGTAAACACTAGGTGGAATTTGTACAAGAATGCTAAATGTTTTTTTCCTCGACATTATGGTGTGGAGATTTACCCACATTTTAATCTAAAGCTCGTTCTTGTTCATTTTCTTTCACTCCATTATAGGTCTATATCAAATTTATTTGGCCATACTCCAGGTATTTTCACAATTAGAGTGGATGCTATAGTAAGCATTCTTGTACAGCAGAGGGCAGTCAGTAAGAGTACCAGCTCTGGAAACAGCTGGCTTGGGTTTGGATCCCAGCTCTTGTCATGTATTAGCTAAGTGGCCTAGGGCAAGTCTCGAACCTTCCATGTCTCAGTTTCCTCGTCTGTAACACAGGGATATTGCAGTACATATTCCTCATAGAGATTATTGTGGAGATTAAAAATTCCATACATGTAAAGCTTTTACACCAGGACACTGGTGTTTATGTGGTAGATACCACAAAATACAGCTCAATCTAAAATATACGAAAATCCCAATAACAGGAAACATTTATTTCAATGCTTCCAATCTAAGAGAGTCCACTTCTCCTTGCCCGATAGTGGCCTCCCCTTGTCTGGAAACCAAACAGCTGCCTCCTCTGGGTAGACATTTCTCATGATAATACTAACCTTCCTCAAGACCATGCTCCCCTAGTGGCTTCTAGTCCAATTACCTGAGCAGGGAAGTACTGTCCCTGCTTCAACAGCAAAGCAAATATTCACTGAAGTGCTAGAGGACCTGGCTACTCGCAGAAATCACAAAAACATGCCTGTGATATTGTGATATATTAAGAATACATATTTTGGTCTTTATCCCTGGTTCCTGGTCAGAGCTCTTAAGCAGGTGAAAGGACCATCTTTTGTTATTGGTAACAAGACCCTTCAACCACACCTGAGTTTATCTTAATGAGGGGCTTTTGGAAAGCCTGTAAAGATGGTGGGCTGGTTGCCAGGGGAACTAGTCATAAGATTAGAGGGCTGAAATTTCCAGCCTGACCCCACCCCTACCACAGACCTCCAGGGAGGGGAGAGGGACTGTAGATTTAATCAATCATGCCTATGTAATGAAACTTCTATATAAACCCAAAAGGACAGGGTTTGGAGAGCTTCTGGACTGATGAACAAGAATGCATCCATTTGCTGGGAGGGTGGCACACTCCAAAACTCCACAAGGACAGAAGCTCCTCTGCTCAGGACCTTTCCAGAACTCACTCTATGTATCTCTTCATCTGGCTGTTCATTGGTATCCTTTAACAAATTCTTAGTGATAAACCAGTAATCTATGAAGAAACATGTTTTTCTGAGTTCTATGAGTCAGCCTAGCAAATAATCAAACCCAAGGTTAAATGGCCTAAGAAAAGTATAGCACTGTTAAAGTGGGTTGTATTTTCCATTTCATTAGTACAAAAAAATTTTCAAAATTCATTAATCTCACAACCTGATATATTTAAGGTATAACAATGGCCTTAAAGACACAGGTCTTTCACACTAAGGGGAGAAGCTAATTTGAATGGATATAAATAAAATTAAAATTAGCACATAGTACTTTAAAAAGGTCATAAGTCAATTACCGTACTTTTAGAGATGTACAATATTTTCCTGATTTTTGAAAAAAGTATATAATTTTACTATGGAATTTTACTGTAACAAAAAAAATAGTTCTTTACATTTCTTATTTCAGCAACTGGTTGAAAATAGCAGACATGGTTAAGAAATCCATGTATAATAAGAGAAAAAATAAGAGTTGTACTTTAAAGTGGTGGGCAATGGTTACTGAATTTTATTTAAAATAAAAAACAATTTCTGATGCAATTTTTTCCATTTGATATTAACAACTTTTAGATATAATTTATATATACTGAAATGCACATATCTGAGGTACACAATTTGATCAGTTTGGACAAATGCATACATCCATGTAACCTGGACTCTTCTCAAGACACAGAATATGTCCATCACCACAAAAAGTTCCCTTGTGCCTCTTGCTAATCAATCCCCTTGGAAATAACCATTGATTGGATTTTGATCAGTTTAGGTTAGTTTGCTTATTATAGAAGTTAATATAAATGTAGGTGCTATTTTGTGATTTCCTTCTCTTTTTGGTAGATTCCTCAGGATTTTCTAAATACACAATCATGTCATCTGCAAATAAAGTTTTATTTCTTCCTTTCCAATCTTGGGGGAGAACTTTCAATATTTCACTATTAAGTATATGTTTTTTTATAGAAAGGAAGCTCCCTTTTTTCCTAGTTTTCCCAGGGGTTTTGCTTTTTCTTTATAACCATGAACAGGTATTGAATTTTGTCAAAATTATTTTTGAGCATCTATTGAAATGATAATTCTTTAATCTGTTATAATGAATTGCTTTGACTGATTTTTATATGATAAATTAACCTGGCATTCATTGGACAAGCCCCACTTGGTCACAGTGTATTATCCTTTTTAAATATTACTGGATTTGATTTGTAAATATTTTGTTATGAGGAATATTGGTCTGTAGTTTTTTTTTTTTATTGTAAAGTCTTATCTGATTTTGGTATTAGGATTATGGAAGCTTTATAAAATGAGTAGGAAGTGTATCCTCTTCTATTTGGGGGTGAGGAAAAAGTGTACTACTGGCATTATTTCTTCTAGAATTCACTAGTGAAGTTCTCTGTGGAAAATTCTTAAATTACAAATTCAAGTTTTTTAGGATTCATCAGATTTCTATTTCTTCCTATATCAGTTTTGGTTAAGATGTGTTTTTCAAGAAATGTATCCATTAACTTAAACTTTCAAATTTACTGGCACAAAGTTTTACATAATATTTTTTCATTATTCTGTTACTGTCTGTAGTATCAGTAATGATATCTCCTCTTCCATTCCTCATATTGATAACTTGTGTATCTCACTTTCTTTTTCTTGGTAAGCCTACTAAGGTTTTACAAATTTTATTAATATTTCAAAGAACTAACCTACAGCTTTGCTGATATTCTTTCTGTCTATTTTCTATTTCGTGGACTTGTCTTTTCTTTAATTTCCTATTTTTCTATTTACTTTGGGATTAGTTTGTTCCTTTTTGTCTAATTTCTTAAAAGTGGAAGCATAGATCATTGGTTTTATAGTTTTCTTCTAATATAGGTATTCAACTATAAATTTTCCTCTAAGGACTAATTTAGCTGCATGTCACAAATTTTTATGTTGTTCTCGATATCACTCTGCTCAAAACATTTTCTAATTTTCCTTGCCACTTCCCTTTGGCCCAGGGGTTATTAAGAAGTGTGTTCTGGGCCGGTCTATGGCTCACTCTGGAAAGTGTGGTGCTGATAACACCAAGGCCACGGGTTCGGATCCCATATAGGGATGGCCGGTTTGCTCACTGGGTGAGCGTGGTGCTGACAACACCAAGTCAAGGGTTCAGATCCCCTTACTGGGCATCTTTTTAAAAAAAAAAAAAGAAGTGTGTTCTTTAATTTCAAAATGTTTGGAGATTTTTATATTTTATTGTTATTGATTTCTGATTTAACACCACTACAATCAGAGAACATACTCTGTATAATTTTGTTCATCTACATCTACAGGTCTAGTTTATTCTATAATTAAAAATCTAAAACAAAGCCAAATAATCCTCTAATGACTAGCTCAAAAAACTAATGCATGAATTTTAACTTTACACCAGATATCAGTATGTTTATTTTCATACCTCATTTCCAGCTTCCCTATTCTATATTTTCTGTTATTTTTATAAGAAAGAGGTGTTATACAAGTGTAGTCTAAATAAGAGGTTAATACCTTAATAAAATTTAAAAAGCTTAAAAAAAAGTGAGGAAAATGTAGTCAATTTCAAGTTACTATCTTGGTTAATGTTAAATTGAAACTACATTTTAAATATAATGGTAAAAGACACCACATATGGGAGCAATCACTATTGAGGCATAATAGGTTTCCCAAGTCAAATGTTTTCTAGAAACACACACACACACACGCACACATACGCACACACACACACACATCATATACCTACTATTACCTCCAATACAACCTAATCCTAAAATGTTTTCTACTAAAACATTTGTGATGGCTGAGAAACTGGATTACAAGTATCATTACTTACTCTCATTTCATCAGGCAATCTTACCTTAATGTACATTCCATTTCCATTTCAGAATGTGTAGAGAAAACATGAAAAATGTATTTGTCAGCTAACAAGGAAAAACTATCTCCAGGATTCAACCAATGCCATAGATTTGTCTTCAATGGTAAGAGTTGGCCCTTCTTGGAAGACTGATAAAAACATGGATTTGTGTGTATCTAACAAATAAAAATAGAATACAGTGGTGTTGTAACTCAAAGTTATGACAAAAACATAACTAAATATGAACTAATCCAGAACTTTGGTATCAAAACAACGTAAGTATAAACTTAGACTTAAAAAACAATGTAAGTGTACACTTAGACTTAAAACTTAGACTTAATAAACCTGGCACTCACAAGCATCATAATTGTTATTTATACAGAAAAGAAAAAAAAAAAAGAAAAAACCTATAATATACCTCCCATTCTGCAGGAGTCAAAGAAAAAAGCAAAGTTATCAATTAACTGGTTAAAAGATTCTCCTGTTCTGCTTAATAAAGAGACAACTGAACACTGGAAAGAGAAACACAAAAAAATAAATTCTCACTGTGGAAAAACTGAGTCCCCCAACTTTTATACCCAAAATGCTTTAATCCCCTGGAAATGGCCAGCTTCTTTGCCACTTATATTCTCTAACAATTTCTTACAATAATTAAAAAATGAAAAACTATAGGAAGGGAGATTCTGATAAAATCTCTGAAGCAAACAATACAGCTTTCTTCCTAGCTCCTCAAAGAGGAATCTTATTTTGTGTGAATGAAACTTCCACTATGAAGATCATAATCCATGTTAGGAAAGATAATGAGAGTTGCCTCCAAATAAAAAAAGCTATCAAAAGGCACCTTAAAAATTCCAACTGAATCAAGCTGAAATTGCCCCTTTCCATAGTTCAGATAGCCTTCTTGTCAGATCATTGGGTTTTTAAAACAAATAAGCTTTAATGTATGCCAAAGCAATCTACATCAGTGCAAATCTTTGATTTTTTAATAAAATTTTATATAAAGCAACTCCCCCTACCACTCTTCCCTCTATCTATGTACTTCATCAGTTTAAATGAGACTTTTTCTGGAGTCTCCAATATAGCAAGGTGATTACCACCCTGGGATCAGAGATATGCTGAACAACAACAAAAAGACATCTTTGAAGTTAGAATAAGTAGTCCTATCAACTTAATTTCATAAGGATCTGGCCATAAGTCATTCCTATGTACAAGGGTACTTCAAAAAGTTAATGGAATGATTCTTATTATCTTTCAACTCTATCTTTCCACAAACTTTTTAAAGTACTCATATATCGATTAGAAACATTTCTATCCTTTAGATCTGTGTGATCATAAAGCAGTAAAATAAAAGTTGGAGATAAAGGATTGAGGTAGAAATTAAAAAGAGACATGATTCAAATTTGGTATGCCATTATCTTATTGATCAGAGTCATTTTTTGAACTATATACAAGATTGCATAAGAATGGAGATGCAGTGTAATTTATGCAACACCCATATTCCTAAAAAGAGTCATGAATGTTTGACTTTTACAAATTAAGTGATAATTTAAACTTAATGTTTAGAGCCCTTTCACTATGCTAACAATCAATTTATCTCTCTCAAAGTAGTCCTCTGACTGATGGCAGGTAGAGCTTTTGAGTGCAACAAGTACATGACAAATCAGCAGATTCTCAACTTGTGCACACTGCTAGACTTGAGAATCATTCCTTGTTACTCCTCATCCTATTAAGTGAAGGCTCCCTTTCCTTGAGTATGCCCTGGTCATCAGAGTCAGGAATGTTGGGTTAATGGAAGAGGACAAGAGTCAAAACAAGAATATACAAGAGTACCTTGAAAATTTCGTGAAAAAATAGAATTAAAAGATAATACAAAATTTTTCACAAACTTTTTGAAGTACCCTTGTACACAGCTTCTGCCTGAACCATGAATATTCTCCTTAAAGGAAGTTTGTTTCCTATTATAGGCTAAAATAAGATGATGTTCTTATTCATGAGTATTTAAAAACTGCAGGTGAGTCTCTAAACATTAAATATTGACATAGACTTAAGCTTACAAAGGCTACGATGTTAAACACAACAGCATAAAATTGTGAGAGTAAGAAAGATAAAATAGTTACGAAAGAAAACTACATTTCTTTACAAAAACATCACAAACCCCAAAACAAAAAAGCATTTGGCTTGAGTATTTTTTTCCTCAGCTGAAAGCACTTAATATTTAAATTATAGGTGGTTAAATATTAGACAGCAAACCCAGCCACAAAGAAAAGGAAGCAGTGTGGGTGGTTCATGATCATCTTTTCTTTTTCTTAAAACTGCTCATATAGGAAATCCCAGAACAGCAAAAATGGCTTTCCAAGGTCTAATGTTTGATTTTTTAACTTAAGCTTAAATACATATTACTCACTGAATAAGTTAAAAAAACACTATGTCAAACTATATACACTCCAACTAGAATGCCACACGTAAAGTCCAAAAGGTACGTTTTGAAAAATTATAGACAAAAATCTAGCAAAACTAACAAGCAAAAAGGGAGATGACATACACACAAAAACATATGGAATGAAAACAATGACATAATTACATATAAAACAAAACTTCTCAAAAATAATAGAATACTGTAAATACTTTATACCAATACATTTGTAAGCACGGCCAAAATTGAAAATTACCTTAAAGAATACCTGACTGGAAAAAAAGTATGCTTATATGTATGTATGTGTGGCTTGTTTAAAAGTACATAATGATAAAAGGAGAAGGAGATTAATTTGGGCCTATAATATTTTAAAATATCATCAACAATTAAAAATCTTTCTAACTCCTCTCAAAACCAGACCCAAGTGGATTTAAAATTTTATTTGAATATTCAAGCTCTTCTTGAGACCAGAAAAAACCAGAAGGATCCCCAATTCCTTCAATGAGACAAGTTTACCTTTGATTCTAAGAGAAGACAAGGGCAGACAAAATATTAGCAAACCCAAACCCATAGCGAGTAAAAGATATAAGCTACCTGTATAAGAGATATATTGTTGGTGTGTTACTTTTAACATATCCATGGGATTATAAATGCAAACACAAATAGATTATGCTGTGACTTTAGAAGTGGTACAAAGGATGCATTACCCCTGAAGAAATGGAACTAAAATACAAATCAATTTTCTATAGCTTTCTCTTGGAGTTATCATCAAATATTAAAGAAAGATTGATATATACCTAAAAAGGGGGAAAGTTTATTATAGTACTTTACAAATACACTCATAATTTCATGGGAAGAAAAACAATCACAACTAAGGAATTTTGTGAAATAGAAAAAAACACAGACACCCAAACATGTATATTTTGGGGATCAATACCAAAAGGTTAAAAAAAATGCAATTTATATGTAGTTATAGAACTACTCCCTCAATCATCAAAGAACCAAAATAAGTAAGATTTTATTAAAATGAAATAAAAACACTGACAACTATGAATTCACCCAGAGGACACAACCAACCACTGGTGATACAGTCACTTACAAAGAACATCACCAGTTTGCCTTTATAACGAATGTTCTCCCTGCTAATTCTAGACTATAGATTAAATTTAAATGACACAAAAAAACTAACATCATTTTGTAATGACCTAACACCATCTCCTGCACTATTTCCAAGAATTGCTGGAGAGCTAGAGCATTTTTTAAAGGAGAAAAATTAGAAGAAAAAAAAGGCAGAAATGCATCCAATTTAAAAGTACAAATTAGTAATTGCCCTAATTGCTTTCAATTGTCATTGTCAAAGCTATTTTTTTATTTGGTAATAGGTTTATATTTCCAAGTTGAAGGAAAGCAGAAAAACATTTACTCACTTTAACATATTTTAGGGTATACAGCATACAGAAGAGATTATTGTAATAAAACATTTGCTATATTCACTTATATAATTTTACAAAGTTTTTTTAACTAAAATTTCCCTCTCAACATTTTATTACAGTTGTATATACAAGTTGCTTTAGCAGATCAAGGAAATTGTGACTGATTAGGGAACAGAGAATAAATGATATATAACACACATTAAGTTAAATGAATGAACTAGAAGTCACTTGTCAAACTCATTCTCATAATTCTCAAGATTGTAAAACTCTCACTAATAATTAAAGTGAGTTTTAGACTTTCTTTAAGTTTCTCTTAATTGCATCCTGTAGGTAGAGCTACAATAAGTAGCTGAATAAATAAATCAGTCTATTTTGAGGGTTAAATCATTTTCTTGAAACTATATTTATATAAACAAGAAATCAACCATTACATAGAGCAAAAGACCTATACATACATTGCCAAGTCCAAGATGCAGCTTTCCTTCAAAGAGCATAATGTAAATATAAAATTCAACTAAATATTTTTCTAAAGTAGCAATCAAATTCTAGTACTAGGGTTGTACATTTCCTTAAAAATATATATACTTTTTCATGTCTTCCAGTGTTTGGTAATTGGCATTACAGAAGTAAATGGAGTATACCATACTAACCTTTACATCTTCTTCATGTTGTAAATTTTCCATAACAATTTTTTAAAGACATAGTACATGTAAGGTATGTGTGGGCCCACCACCCTATTTTAAGAAACAGAATGTTACCATTACCTTTGAGGTCCCCTATGAGTCCTTCCCTATCCTATTCTCTTCTCAATCCCCCAGAGATAATTATCATCTTGATTTTTGTGTATCATTTCCTTGCTTTTCTCTAGTGTTCAATCACTTATGTTTATGACCCTGAATAAATTGCTTATTTAATAAGATTTTTCATTTTATAAAATGGAGTCATACTGTATATATCCTAATACTTGCTTTTATCATTCAATATTTTGTTCCTGATTTTAATCCATGTTTTCTCATGTTTTCACTACAATTTATCTTCACTGCAGTAGCTTATTTTATTATATAAATATATTACACTATATTTATTAATTCTACTGTTGATGGAAATTTATGTTGCTTCTAGTATTTTTGCTATACTGCTTTACTATGTGATACTGCTCTACAGGTTCCTGTATGTAACTTTTGGAGCATGTGTGTGCAAGGTCTACTTTGTAGGAAACACATCTTCATCTCTAAAAAAATTATGTCAAAATATTTTCCAAAGTGGCTATACCACCCAAGCTCCCAACTGCAGTTTATAACTATTCCAGTTGTTCTACACCTTCACGAAT